TGCTCTTTACGGATGTTATTCGGAAGAAATTATTAGAGTGAATTTAATTAAATATCCTAAATGGTGACATATGGAGTGATTTTCATGAATAGTGCACTTGTACAGGCTCTTCTGTATTTGTGTGTCATGCACCATCCTGTGGGTCTATGGCCCCATTTCCAGTAACACTGTGCAGTGAATAATCTACAACAATTACAGCCAAAAAACCTGCAAGCTGACTGACAAACTCATCCCACTTTGAAATTCCTGAAGCCCAAAAGATTGTTTCAGTGCACTGAAACACATGCTTGCAAATATTTTAATGGCATCGGCGGGACTTAAACATAAACCCAAGTGTGCTCCTGCATCTGGGACTGGGAAGGCAGAAGGCTCAGAAGTAGTTTTGAGGGAGCTGGAGGATGTCTGTAATTGCGTATAAAGTGGTTTGATCCTCTTAGTTTCTGAACCATTGGCCCCACTTCAGTTTCTGGTGAAAGCTCATCTGCACTGAGGAGTTCAGCAAATCTCAGACCTGCTCACTGTATGTTGCAGCATCGAGGCCAGACTTCTCTATGTGCCATCCAAAACGCACCTGCAATGCTGGCATTTCAGAGGTAGGCTCCCATGGATGAAGAATTTCCCTTTCAATCCTTGACTGTGATTGCTTTTGAAAGTTATTTTTTTCATTAACTAGCCAAGGTAGGTTGCTGGTCTTACTTTTTCTCATTTCATTTAACTTTTTACTCAGACTGTATCCCTCTGACCCAAACCAGCTCTTTTCTGAAGAAATCTGGGCGGTTTTGAACAGATGTGGAGACATGACAGAATTCATTTAGAACATAATCAACAGATAATAATAGGGTACTCAGAGAAATTGCAGTGAATGACAAGTACCATCAGCCTTTTCAAAACAGCAAAATTAGACATTTTTAACTCCACATGCACAACAGTGTTAGAAGGAGCAGGAAATGACTTTTATTATGTTCTAATTTTTAAAAAATGATACTGTAACATTCTCAAGAATTATCCTGATCCTTCTCTGCTTGCTGTCTCTATAGGAAATAAAATACTGTTCCATGTGTTATTTGAAGCAGACTGGCTCTCTTGTGTACTTAGTTGTATCCTTCGTCTTCCTCCCTGAGGCTTGACAGTGCTCAGCTTGTCAGGATGAGGCCCCAGCATCCCTCATGTATGATTTGTGGTTTTCATTACTGTAAAGATCCATCTGTGTTATGAAACTCGTACTCCTCAGACTTCTATAACGTGGTAGCTAATCGGCGGTCTCAGGAAGGTTTGGGTTATTGTCATTGCCTGTGTCTGTTTTTGCAACGCTGCCAAGAGGACTGAGCTGGATTTTGTGTCTCCAGCTGTGAGTTTCTTGCTGCGGTGGGAGGGAGGACCCCCACTTGCAGCCCACCGCCTAGCCAGGCTTGCAACCAGGATGGTTCCCCCCAGAAACGTATTTAGACCGGGACGGCCATGATGTGCCTGGTTTGGGGGTCGAACCCCGCTGGCAGAGGCAGTGGTGAAGTGGGGACTGGGGCTTTGCACCCCAAGACACAGTGGCCGTCTGCCCCTCTGTCTCCTGGCAGAGTCACCAGGAGTCCTCAGGGCTCTGATCTTCAAAAACCTCGGTGTAACAAAAAATAACTGGGAATGCGTTCTGCTGCTCCTTCACCTCTTCCTCCTGAGTCTTCCACCTCTCGCTAACCCTTGCCCTGGGACTGCAGCCTTCTGTCCTACACAAAAGCGAGCCCCACCACTGTCACAGCACTCCTTTGTACAGGGTATGCAGGATCTCAGATGCTTCCAAATGTGTGAAATACAGGCAAGTTGTACAGCACTGGCACATACACCAATATAGCTTACATGCCGCTTGTAAATCTTCTTCGCTTCCTTGAGTTTTTTACCGTGCGTCATGACTTGCAATTCAGTATTTTATATGCAGGTAGGTCATTCCTGCATGCGTCATCAAAGCTACACCATGCAAGCCAGGGTCAGGAGAAGCTTGGCTGTCAGTCTCCTGCTAATCTCAGTTTTTAGCAAAGATACCTCCAATAACCTGTGCTTGCAAAGGGAAAGACACTGACATTAGGAGAGTCACTGAGTGGCTGTGTTCTCACCGTCAGACTGAACAGGATTTTCTATGCTGACTGTGAGCATTAAGGAGGCCAGAACAAAGATGACAAATGCTTTTGTAAAAGGGATCATCAGAAGACACAGCAGGTTCAGTGATCATTGAGGTTTGTCTTAACACATGAGCAATGTCTTCTGAGAGCAGTAAGCTGCTCTCCTGCCTGGCTGTGGATTGGCTGGAAGGCACTTTTATTTTATTTTATTTTTATTTTATTTTATTTTATTGGTAAAGTCTGCTACGACAGCCTGTATTGGGTAGATTGTGTGGCTGCTTGTGTCTGCTTAAAAATTGGAGTAAATAATTTTGAACAGAAAAATCATTCATAGTCTCTGCAAATGTACAGAACCAGTAAAAACATTAGGCTTGGAGATGTGAATAAAGTTGGGTCTTGATGGAGTTTGCCAGCTGGGAGCCTGCCATTTACAGTTGCTTCAGAAGCACTTTCCTAGTTGCTAACTAAACTGCTTTCCTTACAGAAAGCAGAAGAGGAAAAATAATCTGAGCTAATACGTACTAGTTGTTCAGATGATGTGGAAATGGTTATGAGAATTACCTAAAATGTGCTGGCTAAGAGATAAGCTTGTGAACTTTGCAAACAATACTTAGAGAATGGTACTAAAGCTTAGCACAGTTCTTATCCTTGGTTTTTTTAAACTTGCTGGGCTAATTATGTGTCTCCATTACCTGTGGCAGCTAAGTATTTCATTCCCAGCCTACGTCTATTTTCAGCTCTATCTATATTTGCTGTCCTTCACAATTCCTGCGGTTATTTCCAGGCTGATACTTTTGTTTGGGCATCTATTCTTTCAGTGAACAGACAACCTTTCTATTTATTGAAATTCATCGCGGTATGGTGAAGAATAAAGCACGGAATTGATTAGAGAGGAGTGCTTTGAATCCATAAAGTACAATCTGTCTTTCATTTACATTTCAGACCTTACTTCACCCCATATTTGATAACATTCACTCTACAAACCCTATCTCCACAAATTACTTAGATACTAGATTTAGATGCAAATGTACAATCATCTTCTGCCTGAACCTTGAGGACATCTTAAATCTTAGTGCACCAAATTGGCACTTTTATGGAAGTGCCGCAGTTTCTGCAATGGGGCATGCACCTGCTCTACCAGAGATAAACACCTGCTTGTTGTAATATTATGTCTCCTTTTAACGAACATTTGTAGTTCTTGCTGATCTCCATTTATGAACACCCCAGCTAGAACATGCGGTCTGATTACAGCACTCAAGGAGGAAAAGGGAAACTCAGATTTCAACATTTTTGATAGATAAGAGGATGTAAACGTACAAGCTGCACCCTGCAGAAGGTCTCACCACTAAAATACAGGCTATTCCCCAGCTCTCCTCCTCAGCCCCTTCTTCTAAACACCTGTCAGAAATGGCATCTCCCCGTTTCTGCGAGAATGCTCTAATCCCAGCCCTGAAGGGCTTTCTGGTTCCCTGCGACTATTGAATTTTTCTGTGATGAGTGAAACAGCTCTTCACAGCCCTCAGCACGCAGGACAGCATGGTAAGCAAAATTGAGACACACACACACACACATTAGAAGCAACCTCAAACCTATGTCAAAGTCATTAAACCAATTTATTTAAAAAATATTCATTATCAAGAGCATCTCAGTTCTGAAGGGGAAAAACTGCCCAAAGAAATTTAGCCACCTCTAATAACACTGTATTTTAGGCAGTGCTGTTCTACCTAATTAATGAATGTTTGCACAGTGCTTTGAGATCTTTGCCTAACAAGGAAGGCTAATATGTTGCTATGTGTAAATGTTAGAATTAATAACTTAGAAAATATAGGAGTACAAAGCCAGGTTACTCTTACCTTTTCATCAAAGCCAGGTTTAACAATCTTCTTTTTTTGGCTGCTTGCTTAATTAGATAAGCTGCTGAATTTAATTAACTCATCAAACCTAATTTGAAAAGATCTCTCAAGTCTGTAAGAGCTTGTCTTATGCTTATTATTTCTATTTGTTGCATTGAGTCTTTAATATCACCATTTTGTTAGGGTATTAATGGTAGCCTTAATTGTGTTCTAATTTACTGCATTTGCTTGGATGGTGGCATTTTCCTCATTTTTTAAGTGTCAGCATGTGAAAATCAATCACAATTTAACTTAAGGCAGTGAAATTGCTCTTTTTGCCCTCATAAAGTCAGCTACATACTATCTCTTTTCCCGTAAGTGTAATCTGTGTTTGCAAGGTGAAATTATTTCAGAGGAAATCATGTTGAGTTTCTGAAGTCCCATTTCCTGGAGAAGTGTTATGAGAAAAATTATCCTCTGGATGCTCTTTTGGGACTGTTTAACCGAATTGTTATGTAATAAATTTGAAACTGAAATTGGTATTAAAAGTATATAATTCATTTGAACACATCTGGGTGTGATGCTACAGCTTGTCATACCAGACTGAAACTCCTTGAAAGTTACTAAAGAAAGAATTACTAATGAAGAATCTAAATTGTAAAATTTGCTGTAAATTCTAGCCTGTTAGCAGGACCTTTGTTTGGCCATCTTTTCACGTTCCTAGAAGATATGCCACACAAGAGGAGAGGCCAAGCGATTGCTTAAAATGAGAATTTCCCTAAAAATTATTTACTTGTTGTTCTGTAAAGTATGTTCTATTGTAATGTAAACCATGTTGCTGATTAAACATTGCTAATTAATTCTAGAGTAGTTAATGTATATTTGTGAAAAGCTAGCTACGTCCTGGGTGAAATCAGATGCTTTCTTACTACTCCAGCCAGCAGTTTTACAGAAGTAACCTTGCTCACAATTGCTCTCTCTTGCTTTTTTTGTTTGTTTTTTTTGAGGTGTGCTTTCAAGTGCACAATTAAATAGCTCGTGTTTCTCTGTTTTCCCTTAGAACGACTATAGGAAGCTATCTATGCAATGCAAGGACTTTGTCGTGGGGGTGCTGGACCTGTGCAGAGACACCGAAGAAGTAGAGGCGATTCTCAACGGAGATGTGAACATACATCTGTGCCCTGAGCACCACCGGCCAAGTCTGAGCAGGATTAAACTTGCTATTAAATACGAGGTCAAAAAGGTAAGTTGTTTCTTTGGGTCCCTGGTGGATACATCTTCACATCTAAATTATGTTTCCTTGATGTCACCTGGAAAATAATAAACGGAAGATAGATTTCAGTGGGACCAGGAATCGTAGCGTTTTATGGCATGATTTGCATTTTCTCACATACTTTAGTGTGGATAAGGATATTTGCAAGGGACGCATTACAGCAGGTATGGCATTTATTTGCAAGTGATAGACATGAATGTATAGATGGCACAAGGGTCTGCCCATAGCGCACAGTGCTTCTTATGCAGGTCATGACTATGAATCTGCAAAGACTTCAGCAGGGACCGAAAGTTGTTACCATACCAAACTGAAGGTTTTCCTTCCTTCACTGTGATTTGCATTAAGGTAAGGGATAAACCTAGCAGATGCTGTGGCATCTTTGGCCACAAATTATAAAAGCAGAGAATTTAATCCAGCTCCTCACCATTCCCTGACCATCTGTCTTTCCGTCAAACTAGATCTTCTGCTTAGACTGAGGAAATAGCTGGGCTCTGCAGCCTGATTGAAGTCAGCACACCAAATCTCCAGTCCCACCTGCCTGCTCTCAAATGCTCCCTGACCACTCAGCTCTGATTCACATCTCGTTTTAGTCTCCAAAGCCACTTGTAACCATCAAAATTCTTACCTTTTCTATAATGTTGCAGAAAGAACATACACAAGAAGTAGCAATTTTGTCATAGTCAAGACCCTTTACTGCAGTGCAATGGAAAGTGGAATTTAATTTTTTAAAAAAGAAGTTTAGTAATCTTTATTCAGAATTAGATCAAAACCTCAAAAATCAATTTCCAATTAACTCAGAATTTTTATGTTTTTTGAAAGCGTGTGAAAGTAGATAAACATTGATAAAAAGTGATAGATTCCCAGCTTCCATCCTTCTAAAGCTCCAGATCCATATTCTAAGAGTTCAGATTTCCACCAAATCTACAAAACAGAAGGCAAATGTATATTTGAAGGAAAAACATAAAGGCTGAATGACTCTTAGAAGTATTTTAAACAGACATTCAGCTTTACGGAAGTAGGTTCTGTGAATGGAAAATTTGTTTCTGGCAAATCCTAGGCCAGGGTGGTGCCAATTAATTGCTCCTACAATATGCATTGATGGAAACTGGGCTCCTGCTACGGGACTTGGAGAGCGTTCCAAATTTTCAAGCTAACATCTGGTCTCTCTTTCCCCTCCCAAACCCACCACCTGCTTCAGTTTGCCTCTTGACTGTGTTGCTGTGCTGGCCAGAGAAGGTCTTTTCCTGTTATGAAAGCCATTAATTAAAGAGAATCTTAAAACTCTTATTTGAAATGAATTGCTTTCATGCAGGAGCACATGCTACGGAGCCAAATATTTCCTCCAGGATGTTGTGTCTCTGCATCGTTCCATCACCAAAACTGAGCATACCATCTCGGTTCACTCTTAGTTAGATGACTTTCAACAAGCTGGGTCAAGTTTAGTTATTGAAGCTGTTGCTTTGGTAACAGGAGGCCAAACTTGCCCTGGTGCTCTTTCAGAAAATGAACTCATCTAAAAGACACTGATAGCACCTCATCAAGGAACAGTCCCCAGTGACCTATGGTCTGAGAATTATCGTGAAGTTGGTCAGAGCCTCAAGCCTTTTCAATGCATGAAGTCTTCTGCACTATTTTGCTTGTTTATTCTTCTAAATATTTGTGTCATCCTTTGGATATCAAGACCACTAGCCGGAGCTAAATTGCTGTTGGTTATTGTGTTGCTCTGAGCACACTCATCCTAGCTTGGTTTCAGAGGAACATTTCCCCCCTTTCTTACATTGTATATATGTGCACCTTTTCATAATGCATGAACACTGACCTGAAGCATCCGTGGTAGGTCATATACAGTTGATCTTTTTATGTATAAATATCTTCCTATGCCCAGGAAAGCTGAGCATCCTTTCTGGATCACAGCAACTTGATGCTCACCAATAATAACTGTTAAACTAATTACAGAACATAAACATGAGCATTCATCAACCTCGTGTTGACTCTCAGGTTAGCACTTTTCAGAATATTCTTTCCAGCAGGCAGTATAGGCCTATGTGTAAGATGAGCATTTAACTGCTAACTTGGAAGTAAGATAGTTCCATTTGTGGGAGGCAGAGACACATTCAGATAAATGGCTTTGGTTATTGGCAGTGACTTATGATAATAGTCCAATATTTATCACACTTGCTGAACAAAGAGATCGTGTTATGGTAACACAGTAATGGTTTCCTTAAGAGGCAGTACATTTCAGGTACAAGTTTTTTACCCAGTTGAGAGATATTTAGGCTTATGTATACCAACCCTGTGCTTTGAAATCTATTTTCATTTTAAGAAGATCCTATCATAGAGAGGGGTGAGATGGAGGGTGAATTATTAAACATATTTAATAAATCAGTTCTTGGACAGATTCTGTAAATTTCAAGTCACTTTTTCAAAGCTAAATGCAATCACTCATAGGCGTAAGCGAGATCGCATGTGGCCCGCCAAGTGTGAAAGGCAGAGCGAGGCAGGCGCACCAAGTGACTTCCCACCCACAGTGCCCAAACCCCCAAGCCCCATCTCTTGGTCTGACAGTGCTGCCTGCCCAGGCCAAGTCCGGGTGCTGAGACGTGGGTGGATGTAACTCACCCAGAAACAGTCCCAGGGACGTGGAGACCTTTCCAGTTTTTGAACTGCACACTGGGACTGGAATGATACAGAAATAGTTGTGTGTGTTTGCCATTTTTTTTGTCCTGGAAGTTTAGTTGGCAGGGTAGGACTAATGAAAGGACTACAGCTGTGCCTGCCACCCCTGCTCCCCACCTCTACCATTAGCATCAACATTCAGATGGTCAGTTTTACATTCTCCAGCTCAACAAGCTCTAGATGAGCCAGAGAAATGAAGATGTTCTTACTTAAATGAGTATAGAGCCCCTGAAGTATTTTATATTCATTCTTTCCCATGAACAGCAAGAATAATCTTAGACAAGAGGACTTTAGGGACTTCAGAATGATCTGAGAAAATAAAATAAAAGAGGTGTTAGCTGTTATGGTTTTTTTTTCATTAAGTTAGTATCCAGACTAAATATTTGCATTTGCATCTGAAATTTTAAGAAATATTTGATGTTTAAAAAAAACTATTTCTACCATTAGCTTCTTAATTCACATTTCCTTATTAGTACTCTAAGTGCCTACAGTAGGCTTTCTTTGATGAAAATTTGCAGAGAACAATATATATTGAAAATTATTATTTAATATCCATGATTTTACTTTTACAGCTGCTGACGCAGTTTGCATTTTATCACACTTTTATTTCCAGAGTCTGGGAAAGACGTCAAGGGCTCCCATCCTCAGGAAGGAGAGCAATTGCATCTGTAGAGATTCATCAGGCCTTTGCACAAACTTTTAAAATCTTCTTTGTTCTTTTAAATTTCTCTGTTACTTCGTCATCCTCATACAGCGCAGTCACCACAGACACAGTGTCTAAGAATGGTATTTTTCTTTAATAGTAGCAGCTGGTCTACCAGCTTCTCCCACCCCCTGCCCAGCTCACAGGCCTCATGGAGTTGTCCTCCCTCTCAAAGGCCAATGGCCACGGAGGCCAGGAGGAGGCAGAGAGCAGAATTTTGAAACTGAGAGCCATCACGTTGCATTTTATGGATTTAAATCGACTCTGCCATATTTTCTCTTTTTCTTCCTATGTGCCCACCTGAAAATTTTAGGGATGGAATTGATGCTATATATACAGTTTAAATTTTAATTCCTAATTTTGGTTCCTACACAGTATCTTCTTGATCCTGAATTCAGCAATTGTGTTCCCCAATAAGTCACACTTGGTTGGAGGTAGAGGCTGCACCTCCCTTGCGTGTGCAGTGCACGTCGTGCCTGCGCAGCAGGGAGCTCAGCCATCAACCTTGTGGGAGCTTTTAGCCCAAAGCGCTGTGCTTCTTGTGCCTCTAGTTTTGAAGGGCAAATCCCTGCTTGAAAATCCCCAAGTCTGGGGGCAACCTGCCCTTGAGCTGAATGTTCACAGACTTCTTCACTGATCACATTCTGTCAGTGCAGGAAAACCTTGTGTGCACATCAGGGCTAAAAAGGGGACTGAAGCCTTCTTACCTCCTCTACTCAGTAAACTGCAACTGGTACCTACAACAGGTCTTTGTCCACGCCCTAAATGGCCTTTCTCTGCACTTTTTCCTTTGTGCTTCCCATTAGAGTTCCCTGTTACCTTGCCCCTTTGCTACTCCAAAAAAGCAGTTCTCCATTCAACTGAAAGGACACAGTTTTATTGATCATTATCTTTTTTTCTTAATTTACAAAGTTGGAGATGTATCTTGGAAAGTCATTCAAGAAAGCATCAAAAGTTCCAGGCTTCACTTCTCTATCTCTTTTTTTCTTTTTTTTTTTTTTTCTGCAAAGCATGCTACTGGCACATATGAGATGCAGGCAAGAAAGCAAGTTTAAGCCTCTAATATAGTTGAAGGACTTTATATAGAAGGTCGTTGAAGAATTAAGAAACTCTGCTTTTATGTATTTCACAGCAAGGAGAAAGCTAAAATTACAGTAGTTTACAAAGTGGCCTTTAAAAATGCTGCATTACTCTAATTCTCTACCCTTCCTGAAAGAACTAAATAATCACTCTGTACCCTAAGATTCTTGGAAAACTGCATGCAGTTGTCCTCTGTTCAACTTTGTCAGTCATTTCTCCCTTCAAATTATCTGTCTTAATGATTCATGATTGCTCAAAAAATTATTACAATGGGAACAGTTTGTCAAGAGCAAAACAAACAATTTGCAAACATTTGAGCATTTACTGAGTCCTGGATTCTTTCCAAGAAATGGACTTTTAGCCCATGTTATGGGATTGTTGCAAATTTACTATTGTCTCTCCTGATATTATTTAGCTATGCTTCGCACTTGCATACTCCAGTCAAGAACTGATTTCTTCTTCCTCCAGCTGTACAGGGCCTCGGGCAAAGGGAGGAGAAAGGTTGGGGGCA